TTGAAGGTAAAGCTTTTTATCCGGAATCTTTCCCTAGCTCTTTGTTGGATATGCTTAGATATCAAGGTTTGTTGGATGGGTTTCTCGCCATAAGGGCCGAGACTTACCCGAGTTTGGTGAAAGAGTTTTATCGTCACATGGTTGTGACAAAGGAGGGTGATAAGTTGGAGATCACCTCTAAGGTGAGAGGTGTGAAGGTTGTGTTGTCTGAGAAGAGGTTGGCTCAGTTGTTGAGTTTGTCTACTACCGGAATGGCTCAGTACAGTGGTCATTCTTGGGTTAGTACGGATACCATGGGGTACCGTGACTATTTGAGCTATTTGTTGGGCCGTACGAGTGGTTTCACTCAAGCCTCTAGGCCGGAAAAGAAGTGGTTGTCTGCGGAGCAAAGGATCTTGGTGATGTTGGTGTCAGATTGTTTGTTGCCGAATAACAACAAGAGCAGTTTGTTGGGTAAGTTGGAGTGCACCTTTGCTTTCTGTCTGAAGAATATGGTTAAGTTCAACCTGCCTGCTTTGATGATGCAACACATGGTGTTTTGCCGGGATCACAATCGGAAGAGCTTGCCGTATGGGATGGTGTTGAGTTGGATCTTGGTTAAGAAAGGTGTGAGTGTGGACGGTTGCCTCCCGAAGGCCGTGAGAAAGATGGTGTTGGATACCACCAATCTCTGGAGTTGTAATCTGTTTCGGTTGGATGATGGTGAGTACATCACGCTTGAAGAGGTTGCGAGGAAAGCACCTGATGAGAGGGCGGAGTTAGCTGCTGAGCTTGGAATCCATGCTGAGAAGTTGAGCCTCGCAGTCCAGAGTTTGGGCGGTGATGAAGAAGCTGAGGAGGAAGCAGACCAAGAGGAAGAAGTAGGAGCATCGGAGACCGCCGAAACTGAAGAAAGTGATTCTGATAGTGAGGAAAGCCGGAGAAGGAAGGAAGCTCGCACAAAGAGGGAGCACGACGTCGTCACCTTGCTTCCTCAGCAGAACAGCATGATCGCCGAGGGCTTTGCGTTTGTGAAGGCGCAGTTCGTCGCAGTGCATCAGAGGCTGGACCAGATTGAAGCCAGTTCTAGCCGCAGGGACGAAGACGAAGAGGAGTCCGAAGAGGCCGAGGAGTCGGAGAGCGAGGAGTTTTAGTTTGTGTTGCGGTAACCCCATTCGCTTTTTCCTTGTTGTTTCTTTCTTAGCCGTTGTTAGCTTGGTGAAAGGTTGTTGTGTGCTTTGTGTGCTTGCTTGTTCTGTTTGTTGCCTTGTTGTTAGCTAGATTGATAGTGGTGTTTGGAGTTAGTAGTTTAGTTCTTGGTTGTTGTCCAGAAGTTGGTGGTTGTGTTGAGGCTAGAGTTCTTGATGCTCAATCTATCCGTTTGTTGACCTCTTGCCAATCCTTGAATTTGAAATGCCTTCTTTCTTGCTTTGGAAAACTTCTTTGCTTTGGAATCCTTGTGAGTTCTTTTGGAGTCATTGACCAAAAGAGTTGTTATTGAACTTCTTGTCACAATTTCGTTTCCTTTTTACCGTTCGCTTTTAATTCGTCGTACCTAACCTTCGGGGACGAAGCTTCTTTGAAGGTGGAGAGGATGTGACACCCTAAAAATCCACATTCAATCCATGGATTAATTGTGTAATTAATCCTATTTTTATTTGAGGAATTAATTCCTAAAATCCTGATTTTTAATACTCAAGGACTAGAATTTGACTAGTCAACCTTTAAGTTGTGTTGTACCTTGTGCTTTGAGGGGAGTTCCCTTGTTCCTTACACTTTCTAAGGGTTAGTAAGGGTATTCTTGTCTTTTCACCAAGAGTTAGTATTGTAACCTAACCTAGAAGACTTCTTCATTTCATTCCCTACAATTCTTAGCAAAATAGTTCTACCTTCTCTCTAGAAAAGAAGTGTAGCTTATTCTCCAAGCCAAGTTGAGACCCTTGTCAAGATTCCAAGATTTGAATCCAAGATTCAACCTTTCACCTATTTGGGCATCTAGGAGGGTAAGATCTAAGTTTATCTTGTGTTTTTGGTTCCATCTTAGTTGTCTTTTTCTTAAAGGTAGGATCTTTATGATCTTTTGGTTTAATCTTGAAGTGGGTTTGGAAAGTAAGCCTTGTGGAGAGCTTGTTGTGGTGTAAAGTGAAGTCTTTTGGTCTTCAAGAGGTAACCCATGCTCTACAAAACCTATTTTGCTTACCTATATGTGATTTCTTGGATTCTACATGTGTTTTGCTATGAAATGTGAGGGTTTATGCATTTGTCTTGTGATATTGCATATCTAGAGCTTGTGTTTAGGGTTCCTTTGTGCCATTGCTTGGCATTTTCCATGGTTCAAGTCATTTTGTTGTGTTTGGTGAGATTTGGCATGTTTTGGACTTGAATTTGTGTTTGGAGAAGAAAATCCCCGAAGGGATTATTTTGCACAGGTAGATTTACCCGCGGGCGGAACGACAGGTTGAGCTCCACCCGCCGCCCACCCGCGGGGAACATAAGGCTCGTGGGTAGTGTACCCGTGGGCGGAACCACGGGTGGGAGCCTACCCGTGGGTCCACCCGCGGGGAACACGATGGCGTTGAGATGGGATTTGTTCGCCGTAATTCTTTTGACTCGGTATTTGGTCTTTTGGCTTCCCGTTGTTCTTTTGTGGAACTATTTGAGTGTCTCCTTGATGTTTCGTACGTCTAGAACTATATGGTTGGTACCCATGTAGGACTTTGGTGTCTTGAATCGTGCTAAGTGTTCAACATTGTGTTTCGTTGGACCAAGAGGTATCTTGTGTGTTCCTCGGAACTATCTTGAGTTTTCCCGTTGATAAGCATGCTAGTTTGTTGTCTTAATGCTAGCGTGTGTGTTGTTTGTACCTTCCGTTTGGTTGATGATAACTTGTGTTATCCATCGTTGTTGTCTTTGGGCTATGACCCGTTCCTTGATTGAGTATGTTTCATACCTTCGTTGTGATCCGTTGTTTGACTCTTGTTGAGTTGTGGTGCGTGTGTGGCTCTACCTGGATTGCACGATTAGTGGTATGGGACACTAGTCACCAAGGTATTGCAGTGGTCTTCATGGTGGCCGTGACGTGATTATGGAGTTGTGGCCTGAGTGATGGGTCCACATTTTTGGGGGATAACATGTGTTATCCGGGCATGTGTTGTCGTGATTGGTGGTGTTCGTTGGTGGTTGTTGGTGGGGGACGACGGTCCCGGGGGAATAAGGTTGGACTAAGAAGTACAGGGGTCCTGGAGGTACTGGTTGGAAAGAAGGTACAAGGTTGGGGGTAGCCATAAGGTTGGAACAGGGCATAAGAAAGGCATACCAACTCGTGATGGGTGATGTTGCGAGGGCTTGTAAAGCCGGCGTTGTGTGATCTTCTCTCGTGACGTGTGTAGTCACGGAGGCTTGTGTTGTTTTGGCATGTGTTGCCGTTGGGTGAGTCTTTATCCTTTGCGTGTGGTTAACCTTTGTGATTTGGGATGTGTTTCCGTGTTATCCTTGTGAGTGATGAGTCTTGTGTTGACAGTTGATCTTGGTTTTGACTTATATATATGTATTCCGTTTCGAAAATGGTTTTTATGACTTATATCTATCTACTTATGATACTTAACGGTATTGGTGGGTTACCAGCATTATTCGCTGACTGGGCGTCGTCCCAATGTTTATCTTTGTATCTTTCAGGTGATGTTTAGACGAGCGCGATGTCTAGAGCTTGGTAGCTTAACACCCTTATCCTTGCTTTTGTGGCCTGTGCGCCGATGTAGTTAGACTGATGTTTTGGGATAGATGTACACACTTGCAGATTGTTTGCCGTAGCGTTTACCGTGTTTGGTAGACGTGTCCTGACACCCCGTTGGATTTCTTTTATCCAGTTTCATTTTTATCTTCCGCTGTGCTAGTTTTGTCGCTTAATCTGCATGTGTTAAGGCTTTTATATAGGTCTTGTTTGGGGGGTGTTACAAGTTGCCTTAATTGTTTGGACTTGGACCTTGTGATTGGCCCAATTGGTACTCTTAATGGATCTTCATTATGTTGGGCCGCATCAGAACCTTATGGAATATGTTATGGTTTATAGATTTATGAGCTTAGCTTTAGCGTTAGCACTTGGATTTAGAATAACCTAAGTGTGGCATAACACCCCTATCTATTTGAGTTTCAGCTTCCGCACTTGTTTATTTCAGTATTTGATTTTTACATCATTATTTTCTCCTTTATTGCTTATATTTCTGTGTTAGAATTTGGGGTGTTAGACTTTAGTTGAGTGGTTTTCCTTCTTAAGGTGCGTTGTTTTTCTTCTTAAGGTGCGTCAGTCTAAAACTTTAGGTGCGTGGTTTTCATCCTTAAGGTGCATTATTTTCCTTCTTAAGGTGCGCCATTATTATAGTTTTTTTTTTTTTCATTCAACAGTACAATGAATTTTTCCAGTTTTGGTTCCTAAATTCAAAATGATCTAATTCAAAAGAAAAAAAAATGATAGCAATATAATAACAAATGGTGGAGATGTTGTCTTTGGAGTAAACATGATGACCATGGATGCAGGACGCACGTTTTTTTTTTTAATATAAATTTTCATTGATTTGAGCCGTTGATTTTAGGTGTAGGGAGGTATGTTGCATTTTTTGGGTGTGTTGTGCATTTTGCATTTGGTGTATTTCTGCATTTCATTGTTTTGCATTTTCCTAACACTATTGGTGCATTTTTTAACACTATTGGTGTGGCCACACCGACAGCACATTAAGGCGCGGGTGCATTTGAGCTGATATATATATATATATATATATATATATATATATATATATATATATATATATATATATATATATATATATATATATATATATATATATGTGTGTGTGTGTGTGTGTGTGTGTGTGTGTGTGTGTGTGTGTGTGTATGTGTGTGTGTGCGCGCGCGCGCGCGAGCGTGCGTACGTGTGGGGGAGGTTTCTAGGTGAAACATGCGGTTAGATGATAGCCATTGATTTTGCCAAAATCAACGTCTAGGATGAACACGGATTAAAAAACGCTATGGCATTTTGGTCATTTTGCGTATTGTTGAAACTTAAGGTGAGTCGTTTTAATAATTTAAGGTGCGTCATGTCAACACTTAGGTGCATCAGTTCTACACTTGAGAACTTATGGTGCGTTATCTTTGAAACTTAAGGTGCGTCATTTTAACACTTAAAGTGCGTCTGTGTAATACTCAAGGTGCACCATTTTTACAATTTGCTTCTTTGTTCTTTGGACGCGTTTTTTATTATTATTAATTTTCATTAATTCAAGCCGTTGATCTAGATTTCATCAACGACTCTGATCTTACCGCATGCTTCACCTGAGACATCCTTCGCACCAGATCTCATCCATATATATATATATATATATATATATGTGTGTGTGTGTGTGTGTGTGTGTGTGTGTGTGTGTGTGTGTGTGTGTGTGTGTGTGTGTGTGTGTGTGTGTGTGTGTGTATGTGTGTGTGTGTGTGTGTGTGTGTGTGTGAGAGAGAGAGAGATCAAGAGAAAGGGCCTAAGGACTAATAACTTATGCCCAACTTAGGCAAGTCTATTTCTGAAGATTTTTTTTTTCTTTTTTAGGCTATGTTGCAATTTTTTTTAATTTACCAGAAAGCCAACCTTGCCTTGTAATTTTAACCGGCATGATTATTTGCTTTAATTGTTAGGAAAAATTTTATGTGATGTGTTGATCAAGTATTGAGTGATTATTTGTGTTAGTGAGAAAGATTATATTTGATGCGTTGATCCATTATTAATTAGTTGCTTTAATTGTTAGGAAAAACTTTATGTGATGTGTTGATCGAGTATTGAGTGATTTTTTTTTTTTTTTGAAAGGAGTATTGAGTGATTATTCGTGTGAGAAAGATTATAGTTGATACGTTGATCCATTATTAGTTTATATGAGTTAAAAATTTTCAAATTGGGAAAATTATATGACTATATTCCAGGTATTAACTGTATTAATGTTCTTGTTCATGTTCTTATTTGAGTTATACATTATTCAGGCTCATGTTATTCAGCTTGATGTTGACATCACAGTAGTTTCGTTTATGGAACAATATAGTTTCAGTTTTTGTGACCTGAAGTATCAATTTATATTTTTTATTTTGTTGCAGATGATTTTGACCATTCGATTGGTGTTAATGGTACATCTGAACATGTTATTGTTGAAGAGTCAGCTATTCCAGGTTATATGTTTAGTTCGATTCTTAACTGATTTTGAATTTGTTGTGTTTTCAAAATCATGGTAGTCAGTTTCATTCTTAATGCACATTAGTTTCAGTAGAATAACAATGTAGTATCTATAGTTTCATTAGAAATATTAAAGGGTTGTTTTAATAAAATCACAGATAATGAAGAATTGTTGGGACTTTCTGTTGGATCAATAGAAGATGCATTTGTCATATACAATGATTATGCGTTTCGTATGGGATTTAGTGCTAGAAAGGGCAAACAATATTATGTTACTAGAACTCGGATTTTGAAGACGAAAATGTTTTGTTGTTCTAAGTCTGGTTTTAGAATAATACCAGATACTCCTAATAAGTGTTACTCAAAGATAGTTACTAGATCTGGATGTAATGTAATGTGTCAGTTTGATATAGATTCAAATGGGAATTGGGTTGTTACTAAACATGTAAAGGAGCATAACCATGACCTGTGTCCGGCTTCATCAAGTTATATGCTTAGGTCGCATAGGAAAGTGTCTGAGAATCAGTTGACATGTTTAAAAAACATGAAGAGGAGTGGGGTCCCTTATCGGATGGTATTCGCTTTTTAAAACGTCAGTCAGGAGGGTCACCGTTTGTTGGATTTACTCCTAGGGATGCGTATAACATGATATCTTCAGATTCGGTAAAGCATTTAGATCGTACTGATTCTAATAGTTTGATTGAGATATTTAGAAGGAGACAAATGGATGAAGCTGATTTCTATTTTGAATTTGAACTTTATGAGGATGCAAGGCTGTGTAACTTTTTCTGGAGGGATGGTCAAATGAAGGCTGATTATGATTTGTTTGGTGATTTAGTTGTACATGATACAACATACCGTACAAATAGGTATGATATGATATGTGCCCCTTTTGTAAGCATGAATCATCATTGCATGAATGTGATGTTTGGTTGTGGGTTTTTACTCAATGAGAGGATAGATTCGTTTGTCTGGTGTACGATCAATGGGTGGTAAGCATCCTCAAACAATAATGACTGATCAATGTGCTGCCATGGCTGCTGCAATCGCACAAGTATTTTCGAATTCAAATCATAGGCTTTGTATATGGCACATCGGGGAGAATTCGAAGAAGCACATAAAAGGTCTGAGAAATAAAAAGGGTTTCTTAGAGCTTTTCAATTTTCTGTTGAAGTACACTGACACTGAAGCTGAATTTGAATTTTATTGGACCAGGTATTTTTACTGATTTTTCACAATGATATTATGTTAGTGTTTTATATTTTTGTTGAATTGTTTCTGTATTTTGATTCACAATACCTTATCTATTAAATGATATTATAGGTGTTATGAAATGATACTGCTTATGTGATGAATTGATACTGTGTCAGTGTTTAATAGTTCATGATTGTATTTGTTTGTAGAGCTCAGCTGGAATTATTCGGCATTCCCCTTATCCCCTCTACTTAGAAATATGATCATCAACTTAGAAATATAGAGTATAGGTTTAAATTCATGTTCTTTTTTTTTTCTTTATATTTTTTTCAGGATGATGACAGAATATGGGTGCCATAAAAATGTTTGGTTAAATAAGCTATATTCTAATAGGGAGAAATGGTGTCCTGCATTTAGTAAAGAATATTTCTCTGGTGGTATTCTATCATCTCAAAGGAGTGAGTCTATGAATCATTCAATATCTAGAAGATTATCAAAAACAGCTGGGTTGTGTGATTTTTATAATTCATTTGTTAGTGTAGTTTCTGAGTGGAGAAGTAGGGAAAATGGTGAAAACGTGTGTTGTTCACAAGGGTTGGCACCTATGGCGATGAATTATGTGAAGCTCCTTTCACATGCTAGAGACATATACACTATTGAGATATATTATCTTTTTGAGGAACAGTTTGTGAAAGGGACTTCATGCCATCAAGAATCTGTTGGGGGAAGTGGTAACGAGATAAAGTATCATGTGTGGCGTCCTGACGTTGATCTCATTCGTCACAAAGTGTGTTTCAAAGTGAATGATTTGGATATATCTTGTAGCTATAAGTTGTTTTCAGAGATGGGTATTTTATGCTCCCATTCTTTACGCATTTTCAATGTTCACTGTGTTGCAGCAATACCGGATAAGTACATTATCAAAAGATGGACCAAAAAGGTTATTGAAGATAGAATCATAAGCAGTGATTGTTCCTCGAATATTTTTAGCATTGCGTCATATGTTTGGGTTATTCAAATGGGTAGGAAGTTTCAGCAGTTAGTTTTATCTAGTCAAGCAAATTGCAAGACTCGGGAAGTGTGTGAAAATGCTTTTGAGGATGCTAGAAGGAAGGTTGGAGGTGAAATTGGTCCTCTTGTCATTGAAGATGGTGAACAACGGACAACTGGTGTAATTCAAAATCCAGCACGTAATAGGGCGAAAGGTGAACGCAATAGGAGGCATATTAGCACAATCGAAAAAAAAGTATAACCAAGTGAGAGGGCGGAAGTTGGGTGTCAAGGTTGCTGAAATGAGTACAAAGGTTGTAGTGCAGGCATCTGTTGAAGGAGTTGTTGCTAACATTGTTGGCAGTGGGTATTTTGTTCATCCTTCTAGCGGCAGTTATGAGTTAGGTCTGGTTAAGTCTAGTTGATAGGTGAATTCCAATAATTGTAATATTGGATTGGATTGGATCTTAGATAGTATGTGTGTTGTTATGGTAGCATAGTTTTTTGCAGTATGAAATTGAGATGCACGTTTGACATATTATTTTTTATGTTTTTAAATGAAGTCCTAGTTATTTTTAAATGATACTGTAGTGTATATAGAATGATACTACAGTGTATGAAAAATGAAACTAAACAGCATGTCTCTAATATTTTCATCCATATTACAATGTAACTGTAAGTGTAATGAACTGATACTGTAGTGTTTAATAAATGAAACTCTAGTTTATGCAAAAGGAAACTGAATATAATGTCTTTAATATTTTCATATCTTTGTAAATGAAACTATAAGTGTAATGAAATGATACCTTATTGGTTACGGACTGAAAGTGTATGTGTAATATACTGAAACTAAAAAACATTCAAATGGAATTGCATCATTATATTGATTAATCAAAAAACTTCATGTTAAGAACCATCATTGTGTTCAGTGAGCAAACTTTACAACCAACCAACATTGTCTTCAATAAACAAACTTTTAAATAAGATGCACATCTTCCCAAAATATCAATGGATCTTGTCATTTGGTTCCCAAAAATATTGTCACTTTTTAAGTGATTTTTGTTCTTGTCATATCAAAACAAACATGCACATTTTTTAGCTTTTCCGTTTATCATAGTCATCTATTTGTTGCCTTCAAACACTGCATTGACGTTCTTCAGGACTTCCTCCTTGTATTGATTGGTTGGCATCATGATAATTCTTGATGCATATGTTACCCGTAGATACATCAAGTAGAGATCCTACAGTTTGTTGGTACACATTAATTAACTCTGTTTTGTGTCAGAGAATTTGAGTAGTACAAATATCTAAAGTATTATATGTACATACATTTTGATTCTGTTTCTTTGGAACAAATCCACATTTCCAGTTTTGATCCCCCAGGTAGGTTTCCATATGTCTCATTGCGTACAAACCACAGTCAATCTTGTTAGTTGATGATCTCCAACCCATCTTAACCAGGTCAACAGTCAGTTTTTTCACATTTGCTTGCATATCTTTCATTCCATTTTTTTCAAGGAATAATGCAAATGCATTTTGCTACAAGTCAGAAGTAATTAGATATGCATTATAGGTGCATTGGTTTTGAATACTGAAGTAAGTAATTAGATAACTTTCAAGCCACTGTGGACATTCACCATACTTGCTGGGAATTTTCAGACCTTTGAGGAGTGGCAAGTTGTCAATGATTTCAAGCTTTGATGTAATGAAATTGAAGCACACGACAAAGAAGTGATGATGCCGGTAAATGGGAAAGAACACCTGTTTTGATTTTTTAATGTTTTTTTTAAAGAAAAAAATTAAAAAACATTAGTAGTATATTTAACTGTAAATATAATATTTGAAAAAGAAATGATTACCAATTTTGCATCACTAATATCAACATTCCCCATGTTCTTTATTTCAGTGGTTAGACACTGCTCAAAGTCATCTTGTCTATGTGATTGGTGTTGCGGTGCCCAATCTGTTAGACTGTCAAGTTGGAGCTGTAGAGTATACATTTTACATTAAAGGATGTTATTCATAAGTAAATATGCATAATGTAAAAATAGTAATGGTGTTTGCTTACGGAAGATTGCGTCGTGAAGAATATTCTCTTTGGCTTATCAATCCCACGGCTTGGATCCAACATATTCAGTCTTAGACACCAAACATCTAAGAATATACTCTAAATCTCAGCACTTCTTAAGGTTTGGAATTGCTCTCTATTGATGTAGTATCCCTTATGGCCAAACAATGATTCACTGTCATATTTGAAAATGTATATAAATAAAGTAGTTAGCATTCAAAATTGTATAATAGAGTGTATGTTAAGTGTGTTTTATACCTTAATGGTTGTTCTTCTGTTGGGTCAAGGAAAACATAGTCTGAAATCAACTTTTCCTTTGGACCGACATTCTTCAATTTTTCAACATTTGTTGTCCAGTATGGGGACCTTAGGCGCAACGGCAAGTTTCTGATTCTCCTGGTCTTATCAACTATAACATCCTCATTGTTATCATCAATGTCAGGCTCAGCAATCAAACTGCAGTTTTAGGGAGGATCATGCATGTATTAGCACATAGAGATACAGTTCACATAATGCAGTGTCACTTGATAAACACTACAGTTTCAGTTATCTATATCTACAGTTTCAGTTAATTATAACTACAGTTTCAGTTCATAAAATACAACAAATATATATATATATATATATATATATATATATATATATATATATATGTGTGTGTGTGTGTGTGTGTGTGTGTGTGTGTGTGTGTGTGTGTGTGTGTGTGTGTGTGTGTCAGGCATGCTGATCAGTGTCTGTTTGCATACAATATAGTGTCACTTCATGAATATTACAGTTTCATTTATTAAGGATTACATTTCAATTGAAAATGTGTGGAAGCAATGTAGACATAATAGGTTGGAGCATACCTATCAAACATATTGTTTTCAGTTTCAGGTGGTGGGGTTTCCAATTGCGGTTCATCAGAGTCTGTCCTCTCACTGTCCTCTTGAATATCACGTGCAATGTTCTGGATTTCAGTAGCATTTTGTGCTTGCTTATCATTCATTTTTCCAGGGATATGTTGAGGTTGTGATGATTGTCTAGGGCTAATTCCAAGATCAAAACTTGGTGTTTGAAGCGGATGTGGTGTTTGTGATCTAGCAGGAGCTTAAGTTGGGTAGTCTTTGGTTGTTTGGTAGAATGCTTGTTCAAGGGCATTGACTGCATCAAGGAAACTTGGATGATTGTAAAGCTCATCATCATACAATAAAGTCTCATCTCGTTCTGGTTGGGAAGAAGAGACTGAAGTAATCATGTCAGCAATGTTCTCGAAAGTGATATTAATTATTTCTCCTACAGTCCGTGTGTTTCCTATATCAGCCATCACACCAGCAAACTCAACAACCGTGTCAGCCATCCTATTCAGTAAAGATGTAATCCTTCCCAGTGATTCATTTGATTGACTGCCTTCCACAGGACCACCGCTCATCTCAGGTATGTTTTCTTCTCTGGTCAAACGTTCTTGCCTTTGAAATCTGTCAAGTACTTTTCCCCGTCCAAATCTTCCAGACAATATTTCTGCTTTGATTCTTTGTTTAACTGCTTCTTCAGTCCAAGTAGTTATTGCAGGGTAATCCCTTTGAATCTTCTCATCCTTGTATTGTACTCTGTCAATGTATGTCAACTGTTTTTTAAATAATAAAAACTATAATTAGCAATTATTTTATCAGTAATTATAGTAGCATATAGATTAATGAGAAAATTATTATATGTGCATATGAAAGTATTACCAGCAAGAACAGTGAAGGACCGGTGAAAAAGCTTTCTTTGTTATTCTTCCAAGCTTCAACAGAAGTTACCAAAGATCTGAATGTGTATTGACACCAATTCAAGTCCTTCAGCTTTGAAACATCAAGCATGGAGTATAAAATCTTGTATGTTGCTTTTGTGATCTGGTTGCCTTTTATCAAGCTGGATACAAGCAGCACAACGAAGTCTCTTTTGAACATATCTCCATTGTCTCCTTTCTCAATAATGACAGTTGGCATTGTATTTGTCACCGGAGAACCTTTTGTTATTCCCCACCTCTGTCTCCAAGCTGCCAACAGTTTTTTATATTCACCAGATTCATTCTCAGAGGGAGCCTCAATCACAGTGATTTTTCATTGGGGAAGGTTCATTGTGCTGTGTACATCATCCTCTGACAGTTGCATGTCATTATTTTCCAACATCAGTATGCATTCATAGACATCAAACCTTTCAACAAGATACCTAGTTAGCCTGCTATCCCAGTCAAATATTGTCAAGTTTAACATATCAGCAAACCCAATATCTGCAACTGCTTTGCGTTGATCTGGTGATAGAGATGAAATGAGGGTCCGAAAATACTTTGGTGACATCCTGGTTTGTAGATATTGCATTTTACTTATTTCACTCTTCTTTGCAGATTTCTTTATCCTCTTGTGCATTTTCTTATCAGCAAGGGGGCTTGCTGTTGCTTTGCGTTTGGGCGATGCTGGTCCCTGGTCTTTTGATCCTTGAGCAACTAGTTTTGGTGCAGTTGGGTTTGCGTCAGGAGCAGATTGTTTGGCGGCATTAGCTTTCTTTGGTGATTTTGCTGTTGCTTTGCGTTTGGGTGCTCTTTTTTTCTGTCCCTCTTCTCCCTGAACAGTTGGTTCTGGTTCATTTTCAGCTGCTCCTTTTTAATGTCCCTCTTCTTCTTGCACAGTTGGTTCTGGTTAAGATGGAATGGTTGGTTCATTTTCAGGTGTTGGTGGTTTATTTGCAGGTTGTTTTGTGGCTTTACTCTTCTTTGTTGTTTTTTTTTTTTTTTTTTTTTTTTTTTTTTTTTTGCAGCAGGTGCTGGTTGAGTTGGTGGCGTTGGTTTGGCTGCTTGTGAGTCGAAGACAGCCTTGGTTTTTTGTTTTCTCGTGGCTTTCTTCATTTGTATAGGTATCGTCTACAACAATATCATAAGTATTAATCATGAACATTTTTTAAAATGAAATGCGACACACATATAAGCACTTTCAATTCATATACAATACACTTTCAGTTGAAATGCATTACACTTTCAGTTCTTATACATTACGCTTTCAGTTGAAATAATATTATAGTGTTAGTGAACATTTTTTAAAACAAAATGTAACACACATATAAGCACTTTCAGTTCATATACAATACACTTTCAGTTGAAATGCATTACACTTTCAGTTCTTATACACTACGCTTTCAGTTGAAGTAATATTATAGTGTCAATGAACATTTTTTAAAACAAAATGCGACACCCATATAAGCACTTTCAGTTCATATACTATACACTTGCAGTTGAAATGCATTTTCAGTTCTTGTACACTACGCTTTCAGTTGAAATAATATTATAGTGCCAGTGAACATTTTTTAAAATAAAACGCGACACACATATAAGCACTTTCAGTTCATATACAATACACTTTCAGTTGAAATGCATTACACTTTCAGTTCTTATACACTACGCTTTCAGTTGAAATAATATTATAATGTCAGTGAACATTTTTTAAAACAAAACGCGACACACATATAAGCACTTTCAGTTCATATACAATACACTTTCTGTTGAAATGCATTACACTTTCAGTTGAGGATAACTACAGTTTAATTTAAGAAGAAATAGAGTTTCATTTGGATCTAGTAGTTTCATATGGAATATATGGGACCACACAATCCGTATTATTAAACACACTTTGCAGTTTTATTTTATACACAAACATCTGGGACCACATTATATGAAAAAGACAAACATGTGTTTCTTATTTAGGGTTTACAATAATATTTTAGTTTTTTTTTTACTACATGTGTTTCTCAATGCATGTTTGTGATGCAAAACATGAATGTTTTCTTTCGGAATGTCTGAAAAAAACCTAAAATGTACTGTAGAACATATTTTTTTTGTAGGTAAATAGAACGTCGCATTATATACAACAGTATTATTACCTTCTTGTTGAAGTTACGAACTGAAATCTGCAGAAAAACGAAGAAGAACAGCGATAGAGATGAGAGGTAAAAAATGGCGGTTGAAGTCCTAGCTAGGAGAACGTGTCGATGGTAAGTGTGGCTTGTCTGGGAAGAAAGTGGAGACAAGACTTCCCTTTTTCGTTTTTATATTTTAAAATTAAAAAAAAAAAAAAAGAAGGAAACGATGCGCTGAAAAGTAATCGACGGCATTAAAAGGCGCCGTTTCATCTAATTAATGAAACGGCACCGTATCTGGGCCGCGGTGCATAATCAATTATGCACCGCGGTCTATGATATAACAACTGTCAAATTGTTTTCCTTGAGTTTTGACAAATCACAATAGTGTCTTAGCAGGAATTAACCAAAGCCCATTATCCCATATGTTTCCATTCAATGTTTTATCTGGTAATAATCTTTTCTCTTACTCGATTAACTGAAAACACATAATATGTTAATTAGAAACACATAATTTCTTTATCAGAATCAACAATGCAAGATCAACCCTAGTCCATGTTATAACAATTGACTTTTATTACAACCTCTTAATTAGTACATCCTTATAGAATACTAGAAGCATTGAACATTGAAGCTCCAGCTGTTATACCATGGACCAGTGTTCACCTTGCAAGGTGGACCTTGGACCTAAATTATGTATTTTTAGTATTGGAACTGTGAACTTCTAGAATATAAATTATGTTTCTAAATTTTGAAAATTTGTGAATACAATACAAAATCATTACAAATTGTGAACTTTTAAAAAGTAAATTGTGAACATTTAGTAGGTAAATTGTGTATCTTTAGACGCGAGTCCACCTTGAAATGTGAATCTGGATCCACGGACTAAATTGCCTTCATAGCAAAACATTACAACTAGTACTCCTATTTTCTTATGTGAACATAACTACTAGTCATTAATCTTAAAGAACGACTTTTTTCTTCTATTCTTTTCCTTTCGTCCAGTCAATGTATATAATCATAGATTATAGAGGTTGACTCCTTATGGGAGTTGCCTATAGCTTTCTTGATTTGAACCGGTTAGTTATGAGCTATCTAAACTGATTTATCTCATTGCATTTCTTTACTGACTAGATCACAAGACGAGTTCAATCCAAAACGCATTTTTAAGTAGTGGCTGTGAAATTTCATGTAAATGGAATAATATGGATATGTTGGAAATTGAAATTACACCATGGATCTTGAATGCAAGATGTAACTTAGAATTCTACTTGATTTTATATTAAATAATAACCATGTCCATTTATTAGGTTATTTATCAATTATAAATAACGAAAATTAAAAGCATAAAATAAATCAAGTACACAAGTAAATTGTTACGCAGTTCAGAGCGTTTCTCATACGTTTGCGGGGCAACCCACGTCTGCCCAATCCACTATAAATGTTCACCAAGGAGAGTTACAAGAGTTAAGTGCAAATGGCTATCAGCCTTTACTACCACAATCCTTCCTAACACCTACTCAGGACTGAACCGTGCATGCCATAACAATCTTCAAGTGTAGCTTCAGCTGACCCAGGTACAGACTGTGCAGTTCAGGTTAAATCCCTTAAGAAATAATATATTGAAAGCAGATTAATATAATAGCTTTGTGTAGAATTCCCTTTCTCTCGATTTAGCAATTCTCAAAATGCGTAGCTTTCCATAATGGGATGGCTTCTTTTTATAGTAATAGATTATCCACCCAGTTGATCCATAATAATCGCATCCCATAATCTTCAATGAAACATAGCCACACATTTGATTTGAAAGCCTAGCTCACATTGTACGCACGGCTGACTTCCCCTTCTTTAAACAACCAATAAATGATAGCCATTCAAAATCATACTATATGATAGGAAATTGTCCAAAGAGTTTTTAGTCTAGCTAAAATCTAATTAATTTAAAACAAAATAAATTAGCCAACAAGATTTTAATGTGTACTAAACAGAAATATTGTTGCATAATGTTAGTATATCTAAAAGAATGAATAGTGAGGAAATTAAGACGAATTAATTTGTTGTTTGTTGCCTAAAGTAAAAGAGAATTTGGAAAGGAATTGAAAGAGGACGTCAAAAAGAGGAAGAACGATCAAACATGAATACGCAAGACTCGTAAGAGTTTATTGCGGTGCTAACTAACGTCGTTAGTGGATTCCACATTTCCACGCCAAGTGAATGAGACACCCAAACAAAACACGTACGGCTCTGTACCATCGTTACGTATGTTCGTACGGATCAAACACTCAAACTACCTACTGCCGTACCTATTTTTCTCCAAATCCAAATCACCCAAACCACATGCTCCATACTTATGGAGCAAGAAAATTCTGTTAGGTGGGGTAATTTTAAATGGATAAGAATACAAATTTGTAATCACAAGGTCACGACTTTAAATTTTATTTAAAAAAAAAAAATTGAGTTGGTAAACTATTTATGAACAACTAAATTGATTTATCTCTTTGTATTCCTTTGTCGGCTAGGACCTACAGAGCATTATTTATTTAGTGTATACCCTAGAGTCTCGGATAGTGACGGCATATTTCCCTCATCACCATTCACCAAAAAAAAAAAAAAAAAAAAAAAAAAAAAAAAAAACCCTTTAGGAAGTGTTTGATTAATAACTTAAAAACGAGAAGAGTTAACTAATCCCACTCGTCATATCAGTATAAAATGTAAAGAGTTTGATCTATTATATGTACTCCCCCAAATACTAGTCCTTCACTTTTACTCCATGGTATGACAAACAAAGATTGGTTATTTTCGAGTTTTAGTACATGAATTCTCAAATCCTACTCCCTAAATTTTACTCCTTTATGTGGCAAGTACTGATAGGTTATTTTTTTTATGTGGTTCCCAATACAAGTGTCTACATCAAGATTTTGTGTGTGGGAGTAAACGTTGGGAGTAGAAAATGGGAGTACATGTAATACTTTCCGTTATTTTCATCGTGTGGGTCCAAGGGAATGTGTCTACATCAAGAATTTGTGAAAGGGAGTAAAAGTTGGGAGTAAGAAATGAGAGTGCATGTAGTATTTTCCAAATGTAAATATGTCATACAATTCTCAATGCTCAAGGGTGGATTTAGAAATTTCTTTGAATGGGGCGAAATTAAATTAAAATAATTAAAAATACGATAAAAAATAGTTATGACAAAATATCAAACACTATAATTAAATAAAATAATTTTAATACAAAATATCAAAATATAATGCCTACGAGAAATCAAGAAAGTATTTCTTTAGGTTCTCAACTAAGTAGAAACTTGAAATTTTGATATCAATAAAAAATTAACCGTCATTATAAATCTCAACATTTATTTCAATCACAATCTAACTAATACATATTATAATTTTAGCAAATTCACAATTCGACTATCAATCAATTATGAATAAACCTCACAAAGTTATTTATAATTCATAATTACAATTAATCAATTATGAATACATCTTACAAACTAATGTATAAAGTTTGTGACTGTGTTTTATGATTTTGACATTGAAAAGTGCATCTCATTTATCAATTATCACACATGTGTGCTCTTATTTTCATTATCTCAAATTCGTGTAGCCCAATAATCATCAATAGTTATTTTGATTAAGAAAAATTATTAACATGAGATACATAAAAAGAGAATTAAAAGATAGACATTATTTGTCAAGAAAAAAAAAAAAAAAAAAAAAAAACAGGAAGAAATGAAGGAACACTAAAGTATTATTATGGGTAAAGTTGTGATTCTTTGAAACATATGAATACAATTAAAGGGTTTAAAATAGTGACACATAATCATGGTTGAAAAAATCGCTACGCTTTCATCGGGCGTTCGGGGATCGCCTAGGCGGTGATTAATCGGCGCCTAGGCGCCCGTGTATTTTTTATTTTATTTTTTATATTTAAAAAATTTGTTTAATTTTTTTTTTTAATTTTTTAATACTTGATAATTATAAATTATTTAATATTTTAATAGTTAATACTAAAATATTAAATATTAAGCTAAAAAATCTAGAGTTTGAACAATTTAGGGTTAAAATTTCGCTCAAAATGATGTTGTTTTGAGTGAAATAACTCAATGATAAAAGAATGGAACAATAGTTAATCAACCGACTAGGCGACCTAGTCGGTGTCTAGGAGGCCTAGTCAGCGCCTAGGCGGCACTTAGGCAGCCTAGTCGGCCGTCTAGCCGGCCAGGCGCCTAGATCACCGGTTATGGTGATACGCTAGGCGGCCGGCCAGCGCCGATTAATCGGTGCTTAGGTGGGATTTTTGCAACATTGCACATAATAAGATTTTAATTTTAAGTAGAAAACGAAAACAAATTACAAAACTAGGTAAACAAAATTAAAAATTTCAGTGGAGGGCCACTCACCTGACTTATTTAGCATAATGTACTATCAATATAGGCTATGTAACGAAAATTATTATTTCCGTTACAAACTTTAATGTCACCACTTAATGGCCATTAAGGGTCCTCATAACTTGCACCATTTAATGCATTTTTCTAAATGAAAAATGTTATAAAGATGGCTAATGATACAAAATTTTAACCACAAAGTCACGAGTTTGAATTCAACAATAATTTTAGTTTGAACTAATCAGCTATAAACAACCTAAATTGCTACAGTTATAAGGCAAAATTTACCATATATACATACTCTGTAATAGTGGTTGCGCATTTCTCTCGTTATAAAAAGAGAACGAAAAACAAACTCTTTTAGAACATTTTGATTAATAACTTAAAAACAAGAAGAGTTAACTAAGCCCGCCTCGTCATATCAATATAAATTGCAAATATATGGCATACAATTCTCAATGCACAATAGATAATGGCTTTTTTTAAAAGAAAAATTCTTTTAAATTATTTTTTGTACATACACAACGCTCCCTCGGGTTCTCATGTCCCAACGAAAGCAAAATTACAATAACAATCAGGTTGAGTGGGGGTGGCTGGGGTTTAAGTAAAATTCATATCAGCCATGCTTCTAGTCTCTCCTTCACTCATCACCCATGGATGCCCTGCATTTATTAAATTTATAAATAATTAATATTCTTCAAAATAAAATATCATAACAAAATTTGGATATATTATTATTATTTTTTCAAATGACAAGCTTATTAATAAGACTTTTGTCAAAGTACAATAATTAACGTTAACACGGTCATATCATTCTAATTATTCCAGAAAAACTTACAATCGCTACTTAAAAGTTTGCTCCAAACCAACAAATGACTATAAAGAGGTAAGCCAGTCTAGATTGCTAATATATGAGCGACTTAAAAGATGACAATGAAGTAAATTAACATAGTTGAGAGACTCAAATAAAAAAAGTTAATATACCGCTCTCATTGGGTTGAACTGTCTAACCAATTTGACTAGAATTACACTTAGATTTACTAACATTTAATGACAAAAAAAAAACTAATTTTTTCTTAATTTTGTCTTTGGGAGAACTTGGTTAACTGCTGAAGTGCCTACAATTCAGCTAAGAGATAAATCACTGTGTCGATGAAAAACCTGGGTACACTCAAAAACAATTATAGATGCATTAAATACTAAGGAAAGAAAATGAAATTATTCTCTTGTAGAGTTGTAGATTTTGTTTTTAAAGTTTTTAATGAAATTTAAATGTTAGTACTAAATTTGTTACTAAAAGTATAATTTTTAGAATATTAGGGAGTAATTATTAAAATAACTTACTTAGTACTTGTTCTGCACAGAAGCGTCTAGAAACATCTCTGCAGATCATCTTTCTCAGCAGATCCTTAGCTTCCGGCGAAACTGACCGGAAAATCTTAGCGGGAAATCTCAAGTTCGCCCTCAGAACGGCCTCGAACGTCTCCGTCGTAGTATCGCCGCGGAACGGCAGAACTCCGGCGAGCATTATGTACAGAATCACCCCCGCGCTCCAGACGTCCACCTTCTCATTGTACTCCCGGCGCATCAACACCTCCGGCGCCGCGTAGTACGGCGTCCCGACCACCGCAGACATCCGTCCGCCTCCGAACCACTCCGCCGACCCGAAATCGGCGAGTTTGAGGTTCCCCTGCGCGTCGAACAGCACGTTGTCGGGCTTCACGTCACGGTGCGCGACGCCGGCGCGATGGCAGCAGCTGATCGCGGACATTAGCTGCCGGAAAACGGAGGCGGCTGAGGGCTCCGACAGCGGCCCCCGCGACACCCTCTCGTAGAGGTCGCCGCCGTCGCAGAGCTCGGTGACCAAGTGGAGGTAATCCTCGTCCTCGTACACCTTGAACAGCTGGAGGATGTTGGCGGCGCCGGTGAAGAGCTGGAGAATCTTGGGCTCTTTTTCCAGGCAATCGCGGTCCGTGGGGTCGAGGAGGAGGCTCTTCTGGATGGTTTTGCAGGCGAAGGATTGGGCGGTCGCCGGCAAGAAGCAGCGGTGCACCGTGCCGAACTTGCCGCGGCCAATCTCTTCGCACAACTGGTAATCGCTCTTCAAACTGTCACTCATTGCCGTGCTTTAATTTGTTCGGAATTTTAAACTCACTTGTCTTTAATTTATAGAAAGAAGCTAGGATTATATTCCTTAGCCAACACGAGTATGAAAAGGAATATACTACTAGTACTTAGCAAAAATGGATACAACTCTAGTGTCTATAGGTTTCCGAAATATTAGATTACCTAGGGGCATTTTCAATAGTGGTAGATTTTGACCAATTTTTGCAACTGTGACTAAAATAAAAATATGGGAGAGAGATAAAAGGGATAGAAAAAAAATAAAATATGAAATTACGCGCCCATCATACTCGTAGAGTACACGCGCCCGGATAAACACCTTCAGTTTGTTTCACGCGACTTCTACAACATCAATTTCATTTTCGTGGGGCTCACTACTGAGCTAAAAACCATATCTCCTGGCAACACTCTCAATTCGACCGAATTGGATGAGATAATTCAGTCGAATTCGACCGAGTTAGGCGCCTAGGCGGCCGACCCTTACACGACCACGTAGGGGGGAAATCGCCACGATTTAGTGACGCCTAGTGCCTAGGTGGCCACCTTAAGCTGATTTTTACAACAGTGATAAATACCTTCATTAATGTACTTTGTCAACGCGATTGTTCAATAATAAATTTTTCTCTTAATAATTCTTGTTCTCGGTATAAGTACGTAGACTAAAACGGTACCAACACATCCCTACTCCTAATAAATACTCTACACATAGTCTATCGCTTTACCTCCCTCAAATTTATCTCCAACAATTATTTATTCTCTCTAGAAACTATTGTTCTCATCATATAAACATGTTTTGTTTAAAAAGGTAAATTTTTATGTTGTAATGATTTTTTTTTTTTGTTACTTTAATACACTTATCATATTTTCATATATTTCAATAATCTTCAAAATTAAAATAAATAATAAGGCAACGATAATATATATAAGTACATAATTTAAAAATAATTAACTAAAATTTTTAACTTGATAAACAAAATTACTTTATAAGCTAACATGACATAATTAAGAAGAAAAAATAAAATAAATAATTAAATATGATACATATAATTAGTTAACGTAAATATATTTTTCATAATAATAAGAATTAAAAGGGAAAAAAAGTGCTAAAAGTACATGGGAAACTGAGAAAACCTAAGAACGACACGGGAATCACATTCCCCTTTAAAATTTAATGGTGAAGAATATGTTGTATTTTTTGGAAAATATTGTATTCCTTTGGAATAGTAAGATAACATGAACCAATATGAGAATGTGACATTTCAAAGCTCACACATTCTTTTACAACACGTTTGGTTTACAGAATGAACTTTGAGGTAATAGGAATGCTATTCCATAAGGAATGGAATAGGAATTGTATTCTATTGTTTGGTTCGCGGAAGGAATAGACTTTAGGAATAATATTACAGTGTTTGGTTGATTTAAGGAATAGAAATGAAATATGTTTTAAAAGACATTAAGACATAAATACCCTTATAAAAATATGTGATGGTGTCAATGGTGGTGGTGGTGGTGGTGGCGGTGCTGGTGGTGGTGGTGATGGTGGTGGCGGTGCTGGTGCTGGGGTGGTGGTGGTGGCGGTGGCAGTGGTGGGGGCGACGGTAGTGGTGGTGACGGTGACGGTTGTGGCAGTTGTGGTGGGCGCGGCGACGGTTGTGGCGGTGGTGGTGGTGGTGGTGGTGGTGGTGCTACTGGGTGGTGGTTCTGGTGGCGGTGGTGGTGGTGGCGGCGGCGGTAGTGGTGTTGTGGTGGTAGTAGTGGTGGTGGCGGTGGCAGTGGTGGGGGTGGCGGTGGCAGTGGTGGGGGTGGCGGTGGTGGTGAGGGCGGCGACGGTTGTGGCAATGGTAGTGGTGGTGGCGGCGGCGGCGATGGTGGTAGTGGAGTTGGTGGTGGCGGCGGCGGTGATGGTGGTGGTGACGACGACAGTGGTGAAATAGGATAAATTTATATATATGATAAAATAATTAGGTTAAAGAAAGGGGTAAAAAAGAAAATAGATTCTAAAATCAATTCTTGAGCGTTCAGTAATAGGCTAATACCAGGGGAACCCTAGTAATAGCTATTACCTTATTTGAGGTAATAAGCTATTACCAGAAATATTATTCCTAGTAATAGAAATAGTTACCAAACAAAAAAAATATACCTAGGGAATGCTATGTCATTCCCGACTTATTCCGTGAACCAAACGAGCCATTAGTTTTGTTGTATAACTTAAATCAAACACCCCCAAGTCTTCTAAGTAAAAAAATGATATACAGACTCTCCTCATGGAGTAAAATATTACCACGTGTTTGTTATTTTATTGTTGAAAGAAAAAAAAAAGAATAATAAATGTTGTGAGCCACTCTTTTCTGGATGAATCGAACATATATACCACCTAGGGGCGGTTCTAAAAATTTTCTTCCGTAACGGTGAAAGAAATTTTCTTCAGCGATCAAGTTATAAATATTATTGACTAGAAATAAATAAAAATAAAAATACATTAAAGCACTATAAAAATATATTCAAAAAGTAGTTCAAATAAAAACTACATTATAAATTACTTATCTCACTATTAATATTTAAAAGAAAACTCCAATCTTACATATAATGAATCCAATTAGAATTAGAAATTAATCTCATAAATCACAATTATAATCTCACTATTAATATTTAAAAAGGCCAAAAAATAAAATTTAGGAAATCAATACCCTCAAGATTTGAACCCAAGACACTTCACACAACAACATATACCTAACCATCTAAGATAACTCATCCTTTGATTGAGTTTTTGTACATCAAGTATTTAAACATGATTTGTTTATATATATATAAGGGGCCTATACATACAATATATATAAAGGGGATGGGTGGGGAGGGTGGCAGCTGCCCCCACTGTCCCATTGTGGATCCGTCTCTGATACCACATATAAGCACAAAAGAAAAACAGAGCATAAATTGAGAGTATATGTAGTATTACTTTTCTAAATATTCTTATTCATACTCTCATTTTTAAAATGATAAAACTACAACTCTACTAGGACGAAAATTCTTCACCAAAATTTGAGTCATTATACCTTGAACCATAGTCCACCTTATAACATGGACCAATTCCATTAGGTTAATTTTTAGAATGTTTATTTTTAAAGTTCTTTTTTAGTATGCTAAAGAGTCATTTTTTGATATACTACTTAAAAATAAACTTTCTGTATATAAAAATAAATTTTTTGTATACTAACATTTATCAATGATCGACATCACACTGTGGACCATGGTCATTATATAGTGGTATGATTTGCCCCAAAATTTGTCATAATAAAATCTTTTTTATTCATTAATTATCATGAACTGACAATCCTCCATTGGGTGACATATATATGTATGTATGTGTATATATATATATATATATATATATATATATATATATAATGGATCAGGTGCGAAACTTCTCCCGAATGAAATGTACATATTAATTATAGCCTTTGACCTTGCAAAAATCAACAGTCTAGAATGAAGAACAATAAAAAAAAATGCGGTGGTATTATGGTCATTTTGTATAAGGTCACAACCTAAGGTGTGTAAGTTTAAGGTGCGTAAATTCAAAACTTTTAAGGTGCATAAGTTTATAGCTTAAGGTGCATAAGTTTATAGCTTAAGGTGCGTAAGTTTATAGCTTAAAGTGCGTAAGTTTATGCCGTTAGGTGTGTAAGTCTAAAACTTAAGGTATGTAATTTTATAGCTTAAGGTGTATATATATATGTTTATCGCTTAAGATCCGTATGTTTGAAGTTTAAAGTGCGTCGCTTTCTAGTTTAATGTGCATAAGTTTAACTCTTTAGGTGCGTAAGTTTATAGCTTAGGTGCGCAAGTTTATAGCTTAAGGTCCGTATAATTAAAGCTTAAGGTGGTAAGGCTTAAGCTGTGTAAGTTTATAGCTTAAGGCGCGTAAGTTTATAACTTAAGGTGCATATGTTTAAAGCCGAGTGAATTCCATTTTTAGTCCTACTGTTATAGGGGTGTTTCCAATTTCAGTCCACTTTAATTTTTTTTGCCACTTTACAACAATTGTTATTGAATGTGTTCCACTTTTAGTCCACCGTTAATATTTCCGTCAAGAGGCCGTATAATCAAAGGGTATTTTGGTCTTTTTATGTTTGTCTCTTCTCTTTTAATCCAAGCGCTTCGTCCTCCTCCTCCGATATTCGAAGATGGCTCTTCGAACAACGAGAATGGGAAGCCAAATTAAAGCTACATCGTTTCGTTCGTTCCAACATGGGCCGGCGAGATTTCTTAGATTTTAGGTTTAATGTTCTCATTTCTTTAGTCAAACATAGTCTTGGATGAGAAGAAAGGTCAAAATACCCCTAGATTACACGGCCTCTTGATGGAAATACTAACGGTGGGACTAAAAGTGGAACACATTCAATAATAGTGGTTATAAAGTGGCAAAAAAAATTAAGGTGGACTAAAATTTACGCCACTATAACAGTAGGACCAAAAATGGAATTCACTCTTTAAAGCCTAAGGTGCATATGTTTAAAGCTTAAGGTGGGTAAGTTTATAGCTTAAGATGCGTAATTTTATATCTTAAGATGCGTAAGTTTATAGCTTAAGGTGCGTATGTTTAAAGTTTAAGGTGCGTAATTTTATAGCTTAAAATGCGTAATTTTATAGCTTAAAGTGCGTATGTTTAAAGCTTAAGGTGCGTCACTTTCTAGTTTAAGGTGCATCAATTTAACTATTAACGTGCGTATGTTTAAAACTTAAATGCATAATTTATCTCTTAAGGTGCCTCAGTTAGAGACACTTGATCATTTGCATCCATGTTGCCAAGAAGCACGTTTTTGTTTTTTTTTTTTTTTGTTTTTTTTTTTTTTGTTTTGTTTTTTTTTTGTTTTGTTTTATAAATTGTCCTTTTAGTTTGAACCGTTGATCTTGATAAGATCAACAACTCAAATCTCATTCCATTTTTCACCTGGGAGAAGCTTCGCACGTGAACCATCCCCTATATATGAGAACCACTCATTAGGTGAGAACCTATAGACAAATTCAAACCATCGATCTACAAGGTCTAATAGATAAAAAAAAAAATTAAGTAAAAATGGAACGGAACGTATTTTCATAAATATTAAAAACTTTTAAAATTTGTAATATTTATGAAAAAAATTTGATACCTGTAGCATGATTTTTTTTTTTTTTAATTTTTTTTAAAAGAACCCTACTGTCCTATCATTATAATTGTAATTTGCTACTGTTTTCTCTGTTTTCTTACACTTCCAACTATTTTAAAAAGTAATCCAATACTTTTATGTCATCTAAAAAGATATTTTCATTTTTCAATAATAATAATAATAATAATAATAATAATAATAATAATAATAATAATAAGTTTTTATATATACTTATTCTCTTTTATCAATATATAAGCATATTTCAAATATTAAAGAAATAACAATTAAAACAATATAATGTAAAATTTATTGTAAATAAATATATGTGGACATTATCATAGGTATTATACTATGATAATACCTCTTTATCCTTTATAATATTGTATTTATACTAGAACTCTATATATGTTGTATATATTGAAATTGAAGGATAATCATTAAAGATTGATGATTCTCTCTGTATTCTTTGTCTCTCTTTTATTATATTGCATTTTCGAGGTGTAAATGATACCGCGGTTTACGCGATGATATATTATCCAATTTCACAACAAAATTAAAATAAAACTTGTATTAGGTAAAAATTTGAACAATGTAAAATTAAAATGTATGAAATACAAAATTAATTAATATTTAAAAATCAAAATACAAATACAATTATTTATTAATTTTTTGAATATTACTGACTCTGTTACAATGCAGTATCTGTGCACAAATTATGTATTAATTTAAAGTAATTAAATATTTTTAATTAAATAATAATTTATTTTAAATTTAATTGATATAAAAATATTAAAACAACAAAATATTATGTATAAGAAAAAAAATCCGGCCTCAGATCACCTAATCACTTGGCATGGTGAGGTTGAAATATTCCGTCAATTTTCATTCTACGAACCATCCAATTGCATCACGATGATTCCTTTTACATCTTAAAATGTATTAATTTCTACATTGAATATATTTAATATATTCACTTTAATTTACTAAATAATAAAATGTTAAACCTCATGGCATGCACGGCATAGTTTGAGTGGGAAGATTTGGAAGAGAGGAGAGAAGCATGCCATTGTAGAACATGAGGTCGTATCATATATTCATAAGAGCATTCTCGATACACATAATTTTTGAAGAGTTTTTATATGTGTAATTATAAAAGAAAAGACGAGAAGGAATGATAAAAAACAAAAAAAACAAAAAAAAAAAAAAAGAGGAAAAACAAAATTTGAAAAGCAAAAAAAAAAAAAAAATATACAGTTTAACGCGTCCAATGAGCACATGTATTGCACGCGCCCAATTGACTGCGCGTTTCTAGTGTGCTTCACACACACTAGAGGAGGCTTTTGCTTTATTTATTTATTTATTTTTTTTGAGTGGGGCCACTTTTCTTTCAAAAACTAACTTCTTTCGCAAGCACTCAAATACATTCTTTTTTATCTCCCTTCTCGTCCATATAAGAAACCCAACCTACAAAAACCATTCAAAATCTTCCTATTGGAGATGATCTAATGCATGTTATGAAGGAATTAGGTTTGCAAAAGAGGTGGCAATTTTCTTGCACCATGAGAAGTGTGATAAGTTACAAACTATATAACTCCAAAATCGCCAATGTCCTTATGGTCTAGTAACACGAAGTGACTCATCCAAATGAGAGATCATGAATTCGATTCCAAGTGAGATGGTACTGACTCTTTGTGCTTCTACATTGTAATAGAGTCAGTAATAATAAAAAAAATATATAGCCCCAAAATCATGTTTAATAAATACAAAACGTGAATAACTGATCGGCTTAATTTTGAGTGTACATCCTAATACAGGGAACAAATTTTAAATGAGATTTCTTATCTATTAAAGTCTAGCTAGAGTGCTAGACCAATTTCTTGGACATATAATTATTTAAGATTTGGTGTTGTGTAAGCAGTTAGGTCATCACTCATCTGCGTTTACGGGAGTAGCCTTAACTTTTGAAAGAAAATTAATTCTTTTGACAAAGCGACGTGGCATAGTGATTAAAATACTAATGGAACATTTGGACAGTTAATTAGCATACATGATAACTAGGTTGAAACATGGTGCTAAACATCTATTCATGAAAAGCTCACTAGTAATTTAAAACCTCATACATGGATACAAGTTTAATTTTGAATAAAAAAAAAAGTCCAAATGTATAACTCAACTGACCAATCAACTCAAAAAAGTCTAATGGTAATGTGTTTTGGTAAAAGTATTTTGCATGTTTAGTAGTAAGGTGGAATTGGAATGATTATCGACATTGATGTTTGGTTATGCATGACCCTGTAATGGGAATTAAAAATTTTAAAATACAAAATACAAAAAAATAAGGCAATTGATCATAATATAATGACATCCAAAACACCAATATGAAAAAAAAAAAAAAAAAACAAAACAAAACAAAAATCTAAAAGCACTAATCCAAACTTAAAAATCAGATTATCAATAAGATGAAATGATAATAGTCGTTTTTAATTAGGGAATGTGGTTTTTAATTGAAGGGTAATCAAATCCCATAGTTGTGTTCTAAAAAATTGTTATCCAAACACTAACTATGATTTTGATTCTCATCTCTTGTGTGTAAACCTATGAACCAAATACACCATGATAAATAAGAATAAGCTTGTGGGTTATTAATATTTTGTTAAATGAACATGAATTTGGTTACTTTGGAGTATGACAGAAAAATAATTAATTACATGTTAAATATAAATCATGAGTAATAAAGAGTTAACATAAACTGTTTATTTTTTTTAAATGCATAAATTAATCATTTAGCATAAAGTGATTCGTTTATATTTATAATGTAATGGCTGACTGGCTGTAATGCTACACCATAAATGATAAATAAGAATAAGCTTGTGGGTTACTAATATTTTGTTAAATGAACATGAATTTCGTTACTTGGAGTATGACAGAAAAATAATTAATTACATGTTAAATATAAATCATGAGTAATAAAGAGTTAACATAAACTGTTTATTTTTTTTTAATGCATAAATTAATCATTTATGTTAGATATATTAAATATAATATATTTAATATAATATATATTAAATATAATATAATATATCTATAATATATATTAAATATAATATATCTATATATTATATTTATATATATTGAGAAGAGAGAGAGAGAGGAATAGATAATTTTATTGATGATTAGAAATGCTTGAATAACAAATCTATTTATACTAGATAAGATAATTCAAATGCTAAAATAAAGGAGTTAATGCTCCATGTAAAGCTAACATCATGGCCATGTACTGCACCTATAATTACTCCCACTATTTTTAACCAATTAACTAACTACTTGGTTTAATATTACTAATAATAATAATAATATTATTATTATTATTATTATTATAACATTGCCTCCTTTAAACCAAGTTGAATATATTGGTCATCCCAATATCCTTCTTCAATTTGAGAAATGTCTCCGTCTTCAACGGCTTTGTAAAGATATCTGCAACTTGACATTCACTTGAACAATACTCAATGTTGATTTGTTTTTCAGCAACCAGTTCTCTGATTTTGTGATACTTGATATCAATGTGTTTACTGCGACCTTGAAAGACAGGATTCTTGGACAACGAAATTGCTGACTTGTTGTCACAAAAAATAGTTGTTGGTGCTTCCTGCTTGTGTTGTAAGAACTCCAAAATTCTCCTCAACCAAACTGCTTGAGTAGCACAGTTTGCTGCTGCAATATATTCTGCTTCTGCGGTTGAAAGTGCTACAATCTGCTGCTTCTTTGAAGACCAAGAAAATATAGCTGAACCAAGATAGAAGGCATATCCTGATGTGCTTTTTCTAGTCTCAACATCTCCAGCCCAATCACTGTCTGTGTACCCAACAAGTTCCACAACTTCATTTGTAGAGTAAAAAAGTCCATCATTACTCGTACCTTTGACATATCTCAGAATTCGCTTTGCTGCAGCCCAATGTGATTCTTTTGGTTCCTCCATGAATCTGCTAAGTATTCCAACTCCAAAAGAAATATCTGGCCTTGTTGCTACCAGATACCTCAAACTCCCAATTAAGCTTTTATAAGCTGTAACATTCACATTTTTACCACACTCATCTTTGGACACCTTTAACTTTTCAGCTACCGGAGTTGAAGCTGGTTTGGAGTTTTCCATTTTGAACTTTTTCAAAATATCAGCAGCATACTTCTTTTGTGAAATAAAGATTCCACCATCCATCTGAACAACCTCAAGGCCAAGAAAGTAAGACATAAGGCCCATATCGGTCATTTCAAGCCTCTTAATGAGTGCCTCCCTGAATTCTGAGATTAACTTCAAGTTATTTCCAGTAAAAACCAGATCATCAACATACAGACAGATTAGAACAATATCACCAGAATCCGTGCATTTGACATACAAAGTGTGTTAATGAGGACATCTCATAAAACCACTTTCAACAAAATATGAGTCAATGCAACCATACCACGCCCTAGGCGCTTGCTTTAAGCCATACAAGGCTTTTCTCAACCTGTACACTTTATTTTCCTCCCCTTTCTTCAGAAATCCTGCAGGTTGCTCAACATATATTTCTTCATCAAGAAAACCATTCAGAAAAGCAGACTTGACATCCATTTGATGCAATTTCCAATCATTTTGAGCAGCAAGAGAAATAACCATTCGAACTGTATCAAGTCTACTTACAGGAGCAAAAACCTCAAAATAATCAATACCTGGTTTCTGCTTGTAACCCTTTGCTACCAACCGTGCCTTAAAACGGTCAATTTCTCCATTTGATTTGTACTTCGTTCTGTAAACCCACTTTACTCCAATCGGCTTCTTTCCAGGAGGTACATCTGTTAATTCCCAGGTACCATTCTTTTCAATGGCACGTATCTCCTCATCCATCGCCTTAAGCCAATGAGTTTCTGTAGCAGCCTCCTCAAAAGTTAAAGGATCACAATCTGCAAAGAGAGCAAATTGAACAATCTCTTCATCAGACAGGTCATTATCATGACCCAAAACATAATCCTGCAAGCGAGCTGGTAAGTGGCGCTCGCGCTAAGATCGTTGAACTGACGACTGTGGCTGTGAAGGAGATTGAACATTATCTGGAATTAGTTGCTCTTCAACAATATTTTCAACAGCAGGAATAACAACTGAACTTTCATCTTTAGCTAACCAATCCCAGGCACCATATTCATCAAAAGTGACATCACGACTTATAACAACCTTCTTAGTTTCAGGATTGTATAGTTTATAAGCCTTTGAAGCGTCACTATAACCAATGAATATGCACTTCTCACCTTTATCATCCAACTTCTTTCTCAATGGATCCGGCACGTGGGCATATGCCAAACATCCAAAAACCTTGAGATATTTGATAGAGGGTTTTTTCCCACTCCAAGCTTCTTCGGGCGTCTTATCATGGACACTCTTAGTTGGACACCTATTCAACACATAGACAACACAAGCAACAGCTTCTGCCCAAAAAGGTTTAGGCAGATCCTTGGATTTCAACATGCACCTTACCATATCCATGATAGACCTATTCTTCCTCTCAGCCACTCCGTTTTGTTGTGGAGTGTATCTAGCTGTCATCTGATGTTGAATACCCTTCTTTTTCAGAAAATCATCACAGGCAATATATTCTGTACCTCTATCAGTTCTCAAGATTTTAATTTCATAACCACTCTGCTTTTCAGAAAGTAAACCCATGTTTTCCTACTGAAATCATCAATGAATGTAATAAAGTACTTACAACCTCCATATGAGGGAACCTCCAACGAACACAGGTCTGAGTGAACAATCTCCAACTGTTTTGTGGCTCTCCTTGACTTGCCCACGGGAAAGGGATCTCTATGCTTCTTCCTAATCACACAAATCTCACATATACGATCAGGGACATTCACAACAGGTAAATTAGAAACAAGTTCCTTTCTCGCAAGATAGTTTAACCCAGAGAAATGGAAATGCCCAAACCGCATATGCCATAACCAATTATCATCACAAACTTCAGAATTAAAGCAAGCAAGGAGAGTATGCTTAATTTTCAAAGGAAATAGTCGATTCTGGGACATATTTACCTTTGCAATCAAGACTCCCTTAGCATCTGCAATGGTACAACACCCCTGAGCAATATGTATCTTATATCCTTTTTCTGACAACTGACCATACTCAACAAATTTTGGTGTAGTTCAGGAACATAGAACACATCGGATATAAAATTGTGAGTACCATCCTTCAACTGAATAGAGATTTTACCTTTTCCCAAAATTGACACTTTTGACTTGTTGCCAAATGTCACTTCAGACCAGACTGATTCATCCAGTTCAGAAAACAATTCTTTCTTCCCACACATATGGTTACTACACCCAGTATCCAAGAACCATATGTTCTTATCTGCAGAAAAACTATCGCTGGCTAAAAGTAAAGTTTCAGAACTCTCACCAGACTTTTCAGCAGTGTTTTCAACAATGTTTGCTTGATTTCCACGATTGTTGTCCTCATTATACCAACAATCTGCAATCTTGTGTCCATACTTGCCACAATTGTAGCAATGAAATGGAAATTTACCTTGTTTGGTATTACCTCCACCTCTTCCTTGGTTGGAGTTACCACGTCCTCCTCCTTTGTTGAAGTTACCACGACTTCTTCCACTAGAACCTCCTCTTCCTCTTCCACGACCTCTACCAGATCCTCCACCTCTTTGATTAGTGCCAGTCACATTAAGGGTGACTTGGCTCTTCAAAGCTTCTTCTGCTAGTGGTTCCGATTTTGACGCAATCCTGTCAATATGACTTTCTACCATACCTTTCAGCTCTGCAATTGATAAGAGCTCGATTTTGTGTGACTCTGTGATCGAAGCCACCACATGGTCATACTTCATCGGCATAGTTCGAAGAACTTTTTCAACCATTGCACCATCTTCAATCGTATCTCCATATAGCCTCATCTTATTCACCATATCAATAAGACGAGTGAAATACATATCTACTGTTTCTGTAGAGGTCATCTCACAATTATCGTACAACCTTCTCAACGACTGCAACTTAGACTTCTGCGCCCGATCAACTCCTTTGTGTGACACCTTTAAGATGTCCAAAGCTTGTTTTGCTGTTTGAGCACGAGCTAATTGCCCAAAAATGGAATAATGAACACCTTGGTGAATCTGACCCAAGGCCAATTTATCTCGCTGTATAGCGCCTGCTTCAGCTCCTTCTTGTAGACCGGGATCAACAAAGCTCCAAAGATTTTGAGCTTGCAAATGTGTGGACATCATAATTTGCCAATAATTGTAATCGAGTTTCCCGTCCAATTTGGGACCCGTCCATACAATATTGAAATTTGCAGCCATATTTCACTACGGGAAATATCTCGGGGTTGAAAGGTTGACTGGCTCCGATACCAAATGTTAGATATATTAAATATAATATATTTAATATAATATATATTAAATATAATATAATATATCTATAATATATATTAAATATAATATATCTATATATTATATTTATATATATTGAGAAGAGAGAGAGAGGAATAGATAATTTTATTGATGATTAGAAATGCTTGAATAACAAATCTATTTATACTAGATAAGATAATTCAAATGCTAAAATAAAGGAGTTAATGCTCCATGTAAAGCTAACATCATGGCCATGTACTGCACCTATAATTACTCCCACTATTTTTAACGAATTAACTAACTACTTGGTTTAATATTACTAATAATAATAATAATAATAATAATAATATTATTATTATTATTATAACAATTTAGCATAAAGTGGTTCGTTTATATTTATAATGTAATAATGACTGTAATGCAAAAGTGAGTAAGTGACCCTGGTATAAACCAATAATTGTTGAAAGTGGGATTTGAACCCACACCCTTCCGGACCAATACCTTAATCTAGTGCCTTAGACCAACTCGGCCATCTCAACTAACAATTACTTAGCTTCCACAAATATTTTTAACCTGATAGCCATCTATTACTAGTTATGTGCTGATAACTCGATATGCCATCTGGAACCAGTTTGGTTTCAAAAGAAGACAGAAGAGTATTGTTTTGGGAGACATAGACGCACTCAAAGAGATTCCATTGTTCCCTGAATGAATTCAATGTGGATATTTAGGTATGGATTTAAAATTGCTAATGTAAGGTAAACATATTGCTCATGCAAGAAAGGTTAGTCATTTGTATATGTAGTTGGTATGAAAAATAATTACTCAATTAGCCATAAGGTGGCGGTTTCTGTATTGGTGGAAATTATTATATACTCCGTATTTCTAAAGTAGGGGGGAACATGAGAGTAGAGATACCAAAAAGTTGTAACTATTAGTATATTTGGTAGTTTGAGGGGTTTGAGTGAGTGGATCATTTTATGTATCATAGGGGCGGAGCCAGGATTAAAGAATGCGGGGCGCCAATCACGATTTAAAAGAGAATAATGAAATACATTAATATTCATTTAACATATTTCAAAATACATCATTATATTACAAATTTACTAAAATTTAGATCATCTCTCTTGCATGTCATGAAAATCATCTATAATTGAATCTACACAAAATTGTTTTGCAAATTGCTTTTTAATGTATACTAACAAACAATCACTAAGAAATTCATCTTCTATTTTGTAACGGAGTGTAGTTTGACTATATTCATGGCAGAAAAAGATCGTTCTATAGTAGCTGTAGATACTGGAAGTGTGAGAATGAGAGTTATTAATCTGAACACAAGAGGATAGATGTTTGATTTTATAGTTTTTACCAACCATTGACATACATCAGAAATACTTTCTAGTGTTCTAAAATTAGAAAGTTGTTGCACATGTTCAAAGTTGCATTCTCAATTGTAAAATCTCATAATCTTCAAAGTCTTGTGGATAAAACTTCTCTACCAACTTGCAAATATCATCAAGTCTGAATGATATACGCATCTCTTTTGAATCTAACGATGAACTGAGAATAATTAGCTCCATTGCTTTATCATCAAACCTATTCCTCAACTCTTGCAACTAAGAAGCGCATTAAAAATATCAACTTTGTAATGATGCAATTGTTAATTCATCTTGTTGATGTCTAGCCCTTCCTCTTCTTGCAATATATTGAGCATCAAAATCCTGTACAAGTATATTGACATTTTCACAAAAAGACTTCACACTTGCAACTAATTCATCCCATCCACTATCTCTTAAAGTTTGAATAAGCAATTTAGTAGATGACACAAAATGCATTGCATTCAATATATCTTGAGATTGAAGTTGCAAAGCTTGGCAAAGCATATTAGAAATCTCTAGAACTTTTTTTATGAGATGCATGATAAATACAAATTCAAAAGAAGTGAGTACCTCATAAGCTGCATCGGCATCTCCATGGTGAGCACGTGTAGTTCCATCTTCAATAATATTAAGTAAAACTTCACATGTTGCACTAAAAATTCTCATTAAACTTTATATAGATTTCAAATGAGAACTTCATCGAGTATCACCTGGCCTTTATAAAAAACCAATTTGGTTAAGACCCCTCCCGCTTTCAAGCTCATCAATACTAAGCAAGTGCACAATATTTGAGGCATGAGCAGCTTTTAACTGGTCATTGCGCTTACATGAAGCCCCAACAACATTAATAATGGAGTTCAACTTGGTGAAAAACTGATGGACAAGGATGACTTCCTTTGATGAAGCTACTAATGTCAATTGCAATCGATGTGCAAAACAATGAACATAATAAGCATAAGGATATTCATCCAAGATTAAATCTTTCAATCCATTCCATTCTCCACGCATGTTACTTGTACCATCATAACCTTGTCCGCGAATATTTTGAACATCAAGATTATGACGAGATAAGATAGAAAAGATACCTTCTTTCAATGTTGATGCACTAGTGTCCTTAACATGAACAACTCCAAAGAAACGGTCTTGTATAAAGCCGATCTCTATCAACAAATCTCAAGACAATTGACATTTGTTCATTTTTTGATTCATTTCAAGATTCATCAAAAATGATACAAAATTTTGCATTACCAATTTCTTCTTGGATAGCACTTTTTACTTTAGTTGCCAACACTTGCAAAATTTGCTTTTGTATGGTTGGTGATGTATATGATGCATTTCGTGGAGCTTTATCAAGAACTTTTGTTACTTCACCATTAAAAAAGGCAATGAAACTCAATAGCTCTAAAAAATTTCCATGGTTCATTGATGTTATTGACTTATCATGACCTCTAAAAGAACATCCTTGAAATGAAAGCCATCTCGTTGCCTCAATTGAAGTTCTCAAGCGAAGTCTATTCTCTACTATTTCTTGAGATGTGAATTTCTCAATATGTTGTGCAATGTGTAATTGTTGGTTCATGAGATCCGCACAAGCTTTCTCGGCATTTCGGTGAGGGGATGTGAAATCTTTCCCAATTTGTGCTAAAAAAGAGCAATTTTTTCCATCTCTGACTTTCTTCCATGATCGAAAACCATTGATAGTAAAAGCATCCAACCCGAAAAGGCCATCTTTAGTATGAAACAAATAACATGGTAGACAAAATGCTACATCTTTACTAGGAGAATATTCTAACCAAGAAGGGAATAACTTAAACCAAGATGTTTGAAAACTACGCGGATGTTTTTCTCTCGATTTTGGATACTTTGAAAGCAAACATTGATATGGGTCGACCTTGATATAAGCTCTCCTAACTTCATCACGCTTGTCAATGGGGCACTTCCATATTAGTAGTCTCAATCCCGAATCACGTTCTAATGATTGAATATCAAACTTCTCAATGATTTCAACTCTTTGAGATTTTTCTGGACGACTTTCAAAATTCAGTGGTTCAATACTTGCATATGGATTTACTTGAGATGTTGAATCTTCATAATTCTTTCTAAAGAAAAGATCAATTCTTTGTGTCTTTTTCATTACAACTCAATCTTTCAATGTTCACATTGATAATTTTTTGGCAAGTCGATTAAACTAACTAAAAAGAAAAAAAAAGAGTAATTAGACATATTAAAGTAGTACAAATTTGATGATTTTGGTAGAAAAATGACATTTTATTATTATAAATTAAACACTGACAGTGAGACAATGACTTTAGTATTTCCAAATTCTAAAGAAGGGAAACCATGGTCCATGTGAATTCACTGCCATATAAATCAGTCAACTGCTTTCACCGCAAATTCCAATCATACTTGTAAATTAGTAATAACTAATAAAACACACATAATGTTTAAACAAATGAAATTACTGTTAAATTAGTAATTTCATTTGTGTAAATTAGTAATTTCATTTGTTTAGCGCAAATTTCAATTTCTAAGCAATTATATTTCATACTTGTAAATTGTAATTATGAGAGTAGATTGCTATTATGAGAACAATTATGTAGCATGTATTTAGACTCCTCAACCAAAATAAATAAATAAATAAATAAATAAAAGCCCAATCTTTAATCATTGATGTGAAGATGGAAAAACACACACATACAATAGCAACAATGGCGGCGGATTGAACTTCATCTCGATCATTTGTGTACTTTTGTGCAGAAATTTTATATGTACGACGTTGGCATTTTGAGAAACTGCGCGGTTGCATACATTCGAGGATTTAGAGCTCAGCCGTAAAACCACCGATCATAATTTCAAAAATGATTAAGATAAGAGAAATGAGAAAGAGAGTCAGAGAGACGAACCTGGTAAGTGGTAAACTGGTAACAAATCTTTGAAGCCACCAGAGTTCTCCTCTTCTTGCACCGTCGGCCGTCGCACTAGTAGAGTAAGGAGTTGCAGCTGAATTTTTTTTAAAGCTTTTGGATGGGGCTATGGGAGTGGGGGCATGGTGCTGAATTTTTTGGATGGGAGTGGGGCTGAATTTTGGAGTAAAGAGTACTCTGGAAGCTTTTGGGGCAGAACTTTTTTCAAAGCTTACACTAGAAATCTAGAACCTTTTGGATGGGACAAGGGGGGCCAAAAAGAAATTATTATAGTATTTATTTTTTGGGGTTGGGGTTGGGGGTGGGGGGTGGGGGTGGGGACAAGGCCCCATGCAATATATAGGTGGTTCCGGCCCTGTGTACCACTGGAAAAAAAAAATTAAAAAACTGACAGAAAAGGTTTCAACACTCAACGTCAACCTTTACTTCTCTTATGTGCAATCATTTTATATATATCTTTAATTTGATTCTAACTATCAACTCAAGAAATCTCAATTTATATGAATTTGTTAATTAAAACTAATAAATTCCTAATTTCCAATTTTAGTACATATTATGTACAAAACATGATTACCAGGACTATGTGGTCTAATGGTACCCGGGTTGGACTTTCATTTGGAAGATTATGAGTTCGGGCCTCAGTGGAGGCGTTATTGGTTCTTTGTGTTTCAGTAGGTTGAGAAAGTATATGAACAGATACTACAATGTAATAGAACCAGTAACTTTCAAAAAAAAAAATGTACAAAACATGATTAAACACAAAGTGTTATAGTACTATTGTAGTACATTAAAACTCCAACGAGGCACATAGAAAGTTCAAATGGTGCGCCCACAAATATATATACATGTGTAGACACACATACATAGAACAAAATATATTGACTATTAGAGTAACTCCGATCCAACCAAGCTAGCTAAGGAAATACAAACTTGTAATTATAAGATCACGAGTTTGAATTCAACTTTTCTTGGTTTGAACTTGTCAGCTATGGACAACCTTGACTGGTTTACCTCCTTGTGGTCCTTAATTTATCAATTACCGTCACAAGGAGGGTTTATCCAGTGCATACACTCGGATACACTACAAGAAAAATTGCGAATTGCGATGGAACGTAATCTATTGTCGTTGAACAATAGAACACATTCTTTCGCGATATAAATGGTGATAAAATTAAATTCCGTAGCTATTTTTACATAGAGTTAGAAAAAAAAAAAAAAAACTTCGAAATCTTGGTGCACTCATTTTGATGACGAAATTTTTGTAACGGAATTAAGTTCCGTCGCTACATTTGTGTCGAAAAAGGAAACAACAGATATTTTCGTGCCAGGTTCGCGATGGAATCGGCAACGAGAATGAATTCCGTTGCGATGTCTGGTGCAATGTGAGAAATATTTCCGCATAATCTTTGCGCCAATGAATTGACGAGGAGGGCGATGACGGAAATTGCAACGGTCATTTTTTTTTCCGTTGTGAAAATATTTAATTTTTTTAAGTAAAGTTTAATTTCGCTACAGAATGGGGCGACAGAATCAATTTCGTCGCCAATATGTCAACACACTAGTGATAGAAAATGCAACCCTCTACATGTCTGTCGTGCTATGGCGATGGAATCAACAACAAAATTAATTTTGTTGTGATATTTTCGCAAAGGGATAATTGACGGGCGAGGTTGACGACAGAAATTGCGACGATTGTTCTTTCTGTTGCGACGATATTCAACTTTTTTAAGAAAAGTTTATTTTCTCTATAGATATGTTAACACATTGCAACAAAAATGCCAAACTAAACATGTTTGGTGCGCTATGGCAATTGAATCGACAACAGAAATTGATTTTGTTGTGGTGTTTGGCGCAAAGGGAAAATTACTAGCCGAGGTTTGCGATGAAAATTGCAATGGTTGTTCTTTCCTTCACTAAGATATTTAGGTTTTTTAAGGAAAGTTTTTTTTTTTTTTTTTTGCTACAGATGGGGTGACAACATCAATTTTGATGCCAATATGTTGACAAATTGGTGATAAAAAATGCGAAGCTCTACATGCCCGTCACGCTATGACGATGGAATCGACAATGGAAATTAATTTTGTTGCAATGTTTGGCGCGAAGAGAAAATTGACGGCGAAGGTTGGTGACAGAACTTGCGATGATCGTTTCTTACGTCGCGAAGATTATAGCATATATAAGACATTTCCAAAGTTACTATCTTTCATTTTTACTTTCCAATTTATGGAGATACTTTTAATAACAACATATTTTGTTAACAACAACAACAACAATAACAATAGAAATTGATTCGTGAGTCTTGAATGCAAGTTGGATCCTAAATTTCTACTTGATTTTAATTACGCAATTAACTTACCTTTAATTAGGTTTGTTTTTTTTGGAATAAGAAAGAACAAATTAAAAGGATAAGATAAGAAAGCAGAACCAAGAACAGAGCAATTGTTTGTGCAGTTCAGAGCTAAACTTCTACGTCTGCAAGGCAACTCACGTCATCCCAATCCACTAGATGTTCACCAAGATTACAAGGGGTTTGAATACATAAAGCTTCCGCCACATAAACCAACTTAATCTTCAAAACATCTATTGTTGGAGAGGAACATTCATATATACTTCGGGCAAGAAAAATAATAAAAATATTTTATTAATAAATGACCCTAAGTATATTTGCATGACATACATAACCTAGAGATGAAAACAATAAAGAGATTACCAAAATAGCTTCGGACCGTACTCCATCCATAAACTAATAGGAGAAACCATTTACCTAGATACGAATATAACTCATCATTCACCGTACTGCAGAAAGCAACCACCATACAACCAAGCCAATAGATAATAACCAATATAGATAATCAATTAAGATAACTAATAGTCAAATAAGATAACCAATCCAATAAGATAATCAATACATCCAAACACTGTTAAGAGAATATCCAATCATACTAATATAACCAAACATATGAATAATCAAGATAATATCTGTGAGAAATATCCAAAACCCAACAAAAATAACTAACAGAATTACCAAATTCAAAGTTTACCATCAAAAACCATGCTCCCCTCAATTTATTTCTCCCCCTTTTTGCCAAAAAATTGACAAAGGTGAACATTAGTAGGCTGACGGAGTGCCCGATTAGATTGAACCAGGGGCTGTGAGCTATTTCAGCCTTGTAATTTCCCATAAATCAGCAAGAAATTTATCCAACCTCCATCCATAAAGAAACCAGTAATTCATCATCCATTAGTATGATTAATATCCCCAACCAATTCACCAATAATCCAACATCTAACATACAAAAGAGATAGTGATAATCCAACCAACATCCAACATAAAGATAGTCCAAAAAATAGATAATAATAAATTCAACATCCAAATAGAGAAATCCATAATGAGATTAAACTCAACGATGATGCCCCTCACCAATTACTCCCTTTTTGACAGAGCTTGCCAAAGAGGTTGTGATCATCGAAAATCCTGGAGTAGAAACAGAGATATCGGTAGGAGAGCCAAAGTGGTTCAGTAGTACCTATAATAGCTACAAAAAATACACCAGAAGTAGGACTCGAAACAGTAGAATAATTTCCTTCAATCTTCGTGACCGCTTCATCTTTTGCTTGAAGCTGAAATAGAGATATCAACTCCATAATAATTCCTTTTTCCCTTTCTAGAATCTTTTGCCAAAAGAACCTGCACAAGAAAACAGAAACGAGAGACTCAGAATTAACTTGATAACAATTAAGCAAATAACACAAAAGCACTTATAGACACAGAAATTTAGGAATTGTTAAGTTGGGACAAACAAAGCAAGAAGATCAGCAAATAAAGCATATACAAGCAGTAAGAACATTCAGACAAAAATTCATATCAGTTAGCACAAAGGACACAAAAAATATCAAATATGGTCATGACCGGACCAAACAACAAATAAATAGAAATAGATATATAACACATAAAAAGACTTACCATTTAAAGTTCAGACATAGAAGAAATTTCAACAGCAGAAAATTGATAAACGAGTAGAAGTTACCGACGTCCCTTTTTAGTTTTGAAGCTCTCTAGAACAGCAGCTGGAGTTGAGACAGGAGGTGTTGAACCAACTTTGGATCTAGTTAGCCTTGTATGTGGAGTGGCCACACCCTTTTTGTTGCGTTCGTTCAGAAACTAGCATAACATCATTAGTGTCATCAAATTTTCTCTTTCCTGGAGCAG